CAGATCTAAGGAATCATTTTGACACATTCAGAGAAGTGTTTTGATGGGAAAATACAGTGAAATTAACGTTTGAATTTTGGTTGCTTTTTCTTTCCTCTTACTTGTGTTTTATTTGCAACAAATCTTATGGGTTGCTTGTTGGGGCTGCCACAACACCCTGTCAAAACCGCGGGGAGCAGTTATTCAAAAATAACCTAAGTAACATTTGCGGTTTTAACTTAGTTTTGAAGAGATTTACAACGCTAATAATGGACTTGAAGACCTTAATAAAACCGGAAGTGTTACTTGGAAAGCTAAGGACTACTAATTGGGGCCTGCATTGGCTTCTTCTTTCATACCAGTTATAAAATATCTTCTTCATATTGAGGAAAAATCTATATTTATATCTGGGTTTTTCGTCGTTTTGACCCAGTGAGCTTTCCTTCTTCCTTCTAACTATCCTGATGGAGTAAAATGAGACTCTATCCTTGAAAAATAGTCTAGATTTCATTATTTCATTTTTGATTTGATTTGAACTAATTTTATCCTTTATTTATCTTAACTGAGCCTACATAGATTCTAAGATTATTTTTAAATCCATCCGGCGACCACATAATGCAAATCTGTAATAGAATCTTACATTTCCCGGTTGGGTGTGGTGACAGCTTCATCTTGATTCTTTTAATCAACGTCGGCCTCTGTGTCGAGCAATCGAGTGTCAATCACCGACGGACATTGACATTGCCGGCAATCGAATGCCACCCATAAACAAATGGGCTGGGACCAACGGGGTTACTTCTCTTCCGAAGGAAGACGTGACCAGAGATTGTTTCGCCTCTCAAAAATCCCAACGAACACTGATTAGATTGAACTCAGACACACTGGGGTGAGAAGCAGTCACGCTTACCCCTACACCAAGTCAATGGTTACAGCTGACACCATGTTTTGCGGTAATTTGTAAATATTGTTTTAATAATAGACCCATGGCTGACTTTGGTGAGTTCTACAATGGGTTGTCCTGCGCTTATGTCCAATAAGGAGGCTGTGAAAACGCCATTTTCAGGTGCTAAACAAATACTGGATAAAAGGGTGTCAAAGATTTGTGGTTATGGCATGACCAAACACTCCCGGGTAACTAGCTCAGTAGCATGAGACCCCTGAACTGTGTCGCAGGGCCGGCATGTTACTGGGTATTCGGAGGAGCCACGCGGACAAAGTATGAAAACAGGAATATTCACATTTTCTATAACCTTTATGTGCCCTTTTCTGTGGCGTGTGGGTGTGGGTTTTCACATATATGTGGCGTGTATGCTAGGGTTTAAAATTTGCACTGTACTCACTGCTGCAGCGGCGTCGCGTCGCTGGCGTTGGCCCACACTTGCGACTGGAAACTTGCCACGCGGGCTGCAAACAGCGTTTCGTTGGGAGAATGGCGGATATGGTGGCGTTCATCAGCCATATACGGCTCAGCAGACGTCGCTGGCTCGTTTGGCTGGCAGGCGTCTTCCGTCGTTGACGACATTGGCTGACCGTAGCATGGCCACCTTGGTCGAGCCGAGATGAGACCCTCCTTGGCAATCAAGGCCACCGGCCTGAGGGAATCGCCCCTGATGGACGATCGAGGATCATTAGCGATTAGGCTTTGAAGCCATCTTGACTTCCGAGCCGAGCCGTGTAAGACCGTTTTATTTTACGGTACGAGGTCCTGAGGTGTACAAAAGCACAAGAGGTCCTATTGTAGGGTAATATTTCCGTCAGGTTGGCTGAGAGCAATAATTTAAGCCTATTTACCTGAACGGAGGCAGTTCTTCCATCCCGAGTCCCTAAAAAGGGGGGGGGGGGGTATAAACCATTTCACTGCACTTCACTATGGTCTTGTTCACACGGACGCCTGTTTACTTCTGCCTAATTTTTCATATCTAAGATGGCTCTCTTCAATCAATTTTGCCAATCCTCTTTTCAGCATATGCGCATCCATTTTTAGCTTGAGGCTTCGATTTTCCTCCCTTTAGTATCGTTCGAGTGTTTTTGCAGCGATACTAACGCTCTCGCTTCTGTCTTTTATATTAAAATACGTGAATTTTCCAAACAACAACAACTCATACAAACGAAAATCCACGGATTGTAACCAACTGGTTACAGATTGACGGAATCCATCCACTTCACTATTTCTGGGCTACTAATCTCAACATCGAGTATTTGTTTAGATCTGAAAATTATACTCGTTGCTTAATTTTCTGCAGCAAACACTTATACCCCGTTCACCCTACAGCCTACATTACGTGATATGGAGTATCTTAATATCATAAATTTAATCATTAAGAAAAGACGTAGCATGTTTTTGACCGATTTAAGACCCCCTCCTCCCCCCTCGCAGCGTATTTTTGGTATGAAGATATGCCATTTCTGGAGTCCTTTTAGATTTTGTCGTATGTTATTTTTTCAAGTTAGAGAAATGATGTGTTTGTGTCGTATGTAATATTGAGCTATGTTTTAATCGGTTGGCACGTACGACAAATAGTTTTTTTTTTTATGAGAAAATTAAACAGAAATGTAGCGGGCCCAAATTTTGCTTGTAGGAAGAGTAAGCAGAATAGTTAGGAAAGTACATTTTCACCAATTTTATTTTTATGTAATGAAATTAGAATTTTTTTTTTTTGAAAAAAAGTGCATTACATTTAAAAAATTAAAAAAAGGAAAATAATACCACGTTAAACATAGGCATATAAGTAGATCTTCGGATGTGGACCCGAAAAAAGACGAAGGAAACTTACTTCACTTCTCAAACTCGCATCGCATTCAACAACTCTCAGAACAACAAATGTGTCATCCTCGATAAGCTTCCTGACTGCTCCATCAGGCTGATCTGTCAATTCAATCGGTTGAAACCGTACCACTAGTAGGTATCAGTTTCACAACTCATGCCACCAGTTCAGCATTTGAGACTTCCCAAGAATTTCGTCAAAATCACACATGCGTACCGAGTGTCGGAAAGATATAAACACCAAAAATCCGAGCGTAACAAAAAAAGAACCTTGTCAGGAAGCATCCAATAAAAGCCACTTTGACGGACTAATTGAAGACAACAGCTCTTAGCTTGACACTGTGCTGCTGAAAATAATTACACGGTCCATATTCTCTACTCCACTCTCATTCTGGTAAAACTAAAAGCCACATGTGGCGGTTTAACCCATATGGAAATCTCACTCAATCGTGGATTGAATCGCTACTGCGCTGATTCGGCAATGAGAACCCTTTAGGAAGTTTACAAGCTTCCATTCAGAGGAAACCACAAACAAACCAAAATCACAATAATGTGCAAATCATAATCCTATAAATCATTCCTCTTTGTTCCGGGACGAAAAAGCGCATTGCTGACGATGACAAACGATTCGGTGGCCTCGTAATTCTTCAAAGAGTCCCCCGAAAAGTATCCCCAGTTTAAAAGGAAGACAATGAAAAAGCCCAAAAACTGTTATAAATAACATTCAAATTAATTGCTGCCAAGGGAGCACACACTCAAAAAAAAAAAGACCGACGGTCAAACAAACGAAGCAGCGACAAAAAAATTAAAAAAAAAACACGACAGAAAAAGGACAACTCCCTGGTTCCCGGAATCTCCGAATTTATATCGATCACACACCATAATTAATTGGTTTCGAATCTACCGTGTGTGTGCCTCTGGGTCTACCTGACTGGATCCGTAGATGTGGGAAGCTTCGGTCTGAAGTGTAGTCGGAAGAACCGGAGGATAGGAATCCGAAAAATTGACATGTTTCGTTTCTCTCATTCAATGCCCGTCTTTCGTTTGTTTTTTTTTTGTCATTCAACTCGTCGAAAGATTTCGGAGGACAACAGATAAGAACGCTAATTAATAGATTTTAGATACATGAGTTTTATCTTGACGATAGTTCCGAGGGGGCGAAGACGCGCGGTGACAGAGGAGGTTGGTGGATCAGGTAGCTTCTTCGAACCAGAAGTGTGGGAACCGCGTTCGGAAGGTGTCGGCAAAGAAGAGCGAACGCACTCGCTTAATAGGCCCAGTTTTGAGCGTTCGGATGCTGCTTGGAGTTTTATGAATTTTCGAGTGGCTTAATTAACTTGTAATTAGCCCCCTCGAGAGGGCGAGGCAGTCGGCATTGGGCTTGTTCATTCATGAATCCAGTGTCCGGTTTTGTATTTGGGAAAGAGAAACAGTAAGAAGAAGCTGTGCACACAGTAGTCATTCAAGCTTTGGGGCAGTTTGTTTTATGGCAGCCGGGAGATGTGTAATTGGCTTTGTCGGAACTGGAATCGCCTTATTCCGGATTGGCCGGGAAGTCGTTATTTGAGTCGATGTTGAAGTTGTAACTATTAGAAACACGGATGAAAGTGTTATTCTACTCTCTCTAGTTTTGACCTGATTCCAAATAGCAGGAAGTTTGAAAATCGAACCAATACCACCACCAACAGCAAGAGGCGATAAAGTTCACTCCTCGAAACACACTCGATTCACGAAACAAAAAACAATTCTATTTACATAATTCCCCAATCTAAATTCTCCAATTTAATTAGGCATTTGGAAGAAGGTAAAAAACATGCCCGGGACCCCATTCGGTGTCGGTAATTAGTTACAGTTTGGTTGACTAGAAGGAATGCCCTATCATTAGAGTTGGTCGGAGACGATAGAGAAAGAAAGGGAGAACGAGCGAGGAATTCATCCCACGAATACAAACTATCGCCATTTTACCGGCGCTCTCGATCCACGCTCGATTAAGACATTAGCGTTCCAGCTAATTAAAAAGCGCACCACCATCAGCGGCTTAGGTACGTATCCAGCTGTTGTCCACTCAGGGTGACATTTGAACACTAATTAAATATACAAATTTGAGCGGCATCGTTCGGCCCCAACGCTGCGAAACCAACGGAATTAGAATCTAATTGACCCCACTCGCAGCTCGCACGCGTACACCCGAGGGAAGTCAACGACCTACGACGATCGCCAATAGTAAAAACACGCACTAATAGCTAATGACACTCACCTCCACCTAATTGTCCCGATCCGAAACCCTGTCCAGGGAACAGACCGGGCGGACCGAACGGAGGCATCTGTCGGGCTGCGGCCGCTGGCCATGGCATACCACCACTCATGCCACCCCATGCCGCCGCTGCTGCTGCCAGGGCACTGAACGGTGTCGGTCGGATAGGAACATGTCCAGCGGCTGCCAGAGCCGCCGATTGCTGCAGGAGTGCTGGGGAACTTTTATCCGGTAGGCCCGGCTGTGAACTACTGTTTTCATTGTTGATATCCTCTATGTCCACTATCGAGTCCTCCTGGTTCGAGTCGTAATCATCAGATTCCATCAAGCTATGTGGAGTGTCCGACCGGTCCAAATCATTTTTGAGCGATCCGCTATCATGGGCCGATCGGGGGGAACTGCTCGCATGGGAGAGATTAGCCGGCAGCAGCACTTCCGTAATAGACGTCACACTCGATGGCGTCTTAGGCCGCGTATCGGCCAACAGCGACGCCACACTAAAGTTACTGATCCGCGAGGCACTCTTCTGTTGCGCGGGAACCGTCGGGCTGGTCATCGCCATTCGTATCGGAGTTACAGTCATTCCTGATGATTTTAACATAAATCTTAGCTGTTCTCGTTCTAAATGTTTCCACACATCAGCCAATTCGGTATTGGTCAAACACCTTGCACTTCTATCCAATATTTCTTCCCAAAGAGGATCTTCCAAAACACTCGCACTGTTTTTTCGTAAAATCACTGCGCTTCTCCGTTTGTTTAATCTTCTTAAAGTGTTACCATCCAAGAAGCAATTTCACGCAATTTCCCTCTTTCTGACATACACAACACCCGGGGTTGAAGAAAATCGATAACTCTTATCTCCCGGTACACGCCACACGATCTCCACTGCTCACTACTACACAACAGACAACGACATCGACGGCAGCGGGTGCGACAACAATTGGACACATCGGAACAAACGCTACTCTAGGCGCAAACAACATAAAACTAGGAAACGACGAGAGCAAGGGATCTTCGATCAACTTCGATTGCGTGCGTGCGGTTCTACGACTGTCATACAACTGGCAATCAACCAGTTTGTCCACCACTAAGCCAACCAGCTTCAAACAGGCCGGTTCTCTGCCACCACAATCACCAATACACACACGCAACGACAACAACCGACTGCTGTTGGCTTGGAAACCCGATTCGAAAAGGGGCGGAGTCACGCTTTCTTAGATGTTCTCCTCTCTTCTTCACACCGTTTGAACCAATCAACGTTCAGTACATAAGCCTCCTCGTCGGGGACGTTCTGTCTGTTTTGGCTTGATCTCACCTCGCTTTGTCTCGCACCCTGCCCGCCTGGAACAACCACACAACAAAAGCCAGCAAATGAAGTTGTTCATATTTTACGATTATGTCCCTGGTTGCTTCCCTCTCTTCCAATTCATATGCAGGCTGCTGCTAGCTGATGGTCTGGCTGGTTTTCCCTTGCAGTTGTCGACGACGGTGACGGTGTTGGTGTTAAACTTGGCGTCTATTCCACTCAGCACACTGCTCTTATTTTCTGCGCTATGCACACGTTCTGTGTGTTGGTGAAGCTGTCAGTCTTCTCTTTAGGGAGCGCGAATTCAATTAGCTTCTCGTTTCTCGGGTCTGCGGCTGTTCACGTCCGCATCAGGCGCGTGAGCTAGACAGAGACAGCAACTCCCAAACCAACGAGCAGATGAGTGAAACCGGGGATACACGATTATATTCAATTTTCATTCCATAATTTCTTATTTACTGTGTAATTAATTTTGGACAAAATAGTCTCTCTTGGTTTTCCTTCACCTTCCCCCACCGTGTGTTTCCTCCAGCGAACCGGACACAATCGGGTGGTAATTCTCCTTATTTCAGCTCATTTTATTCTTGTTAATTTTTAATGGGTTCCAGGCACAAACCAGCAGAATACGCACAAAACGGAACGATGTGGTTCCTTCGGACGACGGTGGTGGTGGTGGTGAGTGAGTGATAAGCACTTTTTGCTGCAGAGAAAATTTTTGGCATTCTCCCCTTCTATCGTTTCTGTCGCTTGAAGGGGTCACTTTTAATAATAATTTTCAGGCCTGGAATAATTGAAGATTTGTCCCGTGGGTAATTGGTGGTGCTACTTTTGGAAGTTTTTCGTGCTCTGCTTCGTGAGCGTTCTGGGTGACAATTAATTCAGCGAATTATGTCTGGTGTGATTTCGTTTCCGAGGATGGTACGTGGTTTGAACATGAAGCATACAAAATTAATTATTGGACGTTGTAGTCTCGTTCGTTGGCCCCATTCTTAAAATTGCAGCTGAAATTGGTCTATGCTTTTGATTATATATTTAGTAGATCTACAATTTTACTAATAAGTATCCAAATCCTGGTAGCAGAAATTGTTCATAAATTATCAGCTATCTGTAATCTGAAAATAATAGTGCTGTGAATCACAAATAAGTTTCAGGATTTGATTAATTTTATAGAAGGAAGATGTGTTGGAAGATAAACACCGACAACACCATGCAAATTTATGTTATTTGCTTTTAAAGTGTTTGCATTGAAACATTAAACAATATACTGAATTGTTTACAACTTTGCTGAAGGTTACAGCATTAATTTATAAATTATAAATTGGAACATGTACCGTTACGATTTTAAACTTTTAGCTGTTGGTGGACGAGAAAAGCAAATATTTCACGAATAACATTTGAAAAGGATATACGGATAAGAGCTTGTTCAGTGTTTTATATCAATATATACCCACATAAAAGAATGGACATTTTATTTATTTAATACTGGAGTGTTAATTCTAAACAAAATAGCTTAATCACCAGGGTAAGTGTCTTACCTATAGAAAATGTACAAACATATCCATGTCATCTAGATTCATCATTCAAGATTCCATCAGAATCAACTAGCTGAAACAACTTACAGTCTTGAAAGAATATTTGAATTTTTAAACACTTGGAGATGCTCAGAACGTGATCAAACTGAAGTCTTGAAAAAAATGTCCAGAGAATTTTACTAATATCTTCGTCTACATGTAGATCTTCTTAATATCTCCTGCAGTCTAGGAAGGATGTCTGAAAGAATATCCCGTATTTGATACAACGTTTCCTGAACGTCTACAAAACTCCGTAAAGTTTTTCAAAATTTAACGAAGTTCCCAAATCTTCCAAGAAGTTCATTGAGCTTTTTTGAAGAATGATCTCTGACAAACTGCAACGAAGTTCCCTAAGCTAAAGCAAGAATCCAGCTTTTCAAATCCTTTGAAATTTCTAAACCTTCTACAAAGTTTGATGCACTTCTACGTTCCTCATTGATTTTCCACGAAGTTCTACGTATGAATTTTTTTTTGAAATTGTACGTAATTCCCTGAGCTATTCCAAGCTCACGAGGCTACAAAAAAGTTCCCACTTCTACACAATCAACTGAACTTTTCCAAAGCTCCCTGAGTTTCTACGAATTTTCCTGAAGCTTTATGAAATTCCCAGAATTTCTACTAAGTTTTGTTAATTTTCAAGATTTTCCTTGACCTTCTTAGAAGACTTTGAAGTTTCTTGAGGTTAGAGAAAAATCCCTGAACGCTTCGTCAGCTTGTAGAGCTCTCTAGAAATTGAGAAAAGTAGGCATTAATAAAAATCAATAAAAATAAAAGGTAAACTTTAAAAACACCCAAAATTCCTGGAGGGAAATAGAACATTCTGGAGGGGTCCTGGCCCCCTTGGCACCCCCATTAGCTACGTCAAAGCATGCCGCGAGAAGCGTAGTCCATGTTATGGTTTCGATTTATTAAATAGGTAAGGTAGGCTAGAAAAGACAGCATCATGGTGAGAGAATCTACCATGTTGTGCCCGTCCACTGACCTTTTTTAAGATCAAAATCAGATTCACATAGTTAGTAAAGGGATCGTGCATTAATTATGTCACACTTTTAGGGGGGAGAGCGAATTTTGGAAACTGTAACGAGCCATACAAAAAAAAAATAAGGTCTGTACACAAAATGTGACAAAGGGGAGAGGGGGTTGAAAATGGGCCAAATTTGCATGACATCATTAATAGAACTTCCCCAATCTGTTTTTCATAAGCATACCTTTGCTCTAATGCAATGGTTATTATCATTGTAGAATAAAACATGACAAACAATGCTGTTAGAATTGATTTCGAGAAAAAAAACAATGCCACAGTGGTCCAGGAGGGTGTTTTCAGGTACAAACTAAAAAAAGTGCATAAAGGTGCAGTTTAATCAAGTTGACGTCTTCAGACAAGTTTAGATATGAAAAAAGGCGCATCTGATGAAGAGGTTGTTCAAAATTTAAATCCCATAGAACAAACAATAGATTTTCTAACTCTTTTCTATGCAATTTAGAAAAGTAAAATGTTCCACAAAGTTGTAGATCTTATCATTTTCACAAACTTTGCTCAAAACGTCAATGGTTTAAATCGTCGTTTTCATCGGAATATGAAGTATTTTTTAAGGAAGGTTCCATCAAATCGTTCTTTTAACCATAATTTTTTGACTACGTCTGTGACTTCCATATGGGGGTACACTTTGTGAAAACCGAAAATGGAACATGTAACAAAATCATGAAAAATTTTGAACATTAATAACTCAGCTGTCCATGAACCAATTTCAATAATTGTATCACCAATCGATCAGAACATACAGGGTGCGTGACGAATTTTTGCAGTAAATGGCATATTTGAGAAAAAATACACCAGTTAGTTATTCTAGCAATGAATTTTGTGCGACATATTTTTCTTTCGCAACATATGGAAGTTGTAAGTAAATTTATTCAAAAAAAATTGCCTTCCCTTTCGACTACTGTAGTTAGACGCTTCCGGAAACTGCAGTATGCACGTTTTAAAATGTTTCGATCCATAGATGTCATCACTACCTTGATTTTAGCTTTTAGCGACTTAAGTGTGGTGTGAGGGGTTCTATTAGTATCCCGTTGGACGACGCCCTATACAAAATAATCCAACGGATTGATATCGGGACTGCTTGGGGGCCAAATTTTTTCCTCCCAAATTTACGAAATATTTTCCGTAAGCCATTTCTGTGCTTTATTAGCAGTATGAGCAGGTGCTCCGTCTTATCACTTTTTCAAGCCTTTTTTTAATATTATACACTGTTCTTTCAGACACATTTACCGACCGAATTATTTCTTTCATGCATACTCCGGCGCGCAACAAAGCGACATCGGCTGACAGATTGCTCTCTTGTTTCGACATCTTTACGTTTACTCAACATTGTTTGTTTAAATCTTACACCTAACAGTATAAGCTATCCAGTGCTGCCAAATATATATACATCATGATGCACAAGCATGAGAAATTACTATTTGAAACTTACTGCAAAAATTCGTCACGCACCCTGTATGTCATTGACGAAGAGAATAAATAAAAGTGGTCCTAAATGGGAGCCTTGAGCAACTCCTGAAGTGACATCAACGGGATTTGATGTCTTTCCTTTGTATTTTACTATTTGATGGCGGTCAGTTAAATATGATTCAAGCCACTTGAGGAGTGTGTAATGAATTCCGATTTTTTGAAGTTTAAAAAGAAGCATGGGTATGTCAATTCGATCAAACGCTTTGCTGAAATCTGTGTACAACACTTCTACATGCTTTCCGTGATCCATTGCATTCAAGGAATAATTAATTAATTCGAGCAAATTTGTAGTTGTTGAACGGCCTATAAAGAAGCCATGTTACATAGTAGTTATTCTTCCTATTTGCGTCTTATAAAACCATAATACCAATGCGGAAAATGGACAGTGTCTTCTGGTATTTTCTTAACGAGTATCACTCCATTATCGTATCGCATGAGCTCCATTTTGCAGCTCTTCGTTCACTTTTACTTTGTTGACTCCATAGTACCGGAAAAGATATACATCCATTATTAGTAATGCTGTGATATAACCACAACGGGATGGCCATTCAGAATGGTTCAAAGGATGTAAAATGAGGGAACATTTAAATTTAACACGGTTTAAAGTATTTGAATACAACATTACATTTGTTCACTAACAATTAACACATTTTTTTATATGTTATCCTGCCTAATTTCTGGA